CTTAACCACAGACGCCTCTTCTCATGGCTGGGTCTGTGATAGGAGGCCGAGATTTATTCAGAAAATTACGTGGAAATCCTCAGAAAGAATGAGGAACTCTGTAGACCTCTAGTGGAGTCATTGGTACCTGTTTCTTCATCTAATCTGTTCTGACCTGTTATGGTTTTCACAGATCCATACTGGCCTCTTATTTTATACTCAACTCTGTCCTATTTATTTATTTTGGAAAAGCCACATGTAGATACAGAAGTTCAACTTTTCTTCAAAGCACCATTTGACTTACTCTCAGAGAGGCTTTTTCACACCAAAGTATTGAAATGTTACCTTGAGGGTCTGTCTTTACCTTCCTTGCTTCAGCTTTTTTAGCCCTTGGTATATTGTTTGGTGATCCCTACTTGAGCAGATACATGAAGTAATTAAACAGGATTTCATCTTTAAATACTAACTAAATAATTGGTAGAAGAACAAAAAGCATGTGGGGAAGGGTTTGAAATCTGTGACATCTTAGTCAAGTTGAAGATTCAGTGTTCAACACTTTTTAGATGAGGAGAATTTTTTTTTTTTTTAGCTAGTCTTACCTCTTAATGGCTGAGGAACTAGAATGGTGTAGAAGAAAATGAGCAAACTTGCAGTCAAGTCAGAGAATGGTAGATTAGGTACCCAGAGAGTCCTTAAGGCTTGACTGACCCAACCTCCTTATTTTGGAAACTGAAACTCAGAGAAGTCAATTGATTTGTGTTAAGTCTTACAACTGGTCAGTGGACGTATTTACAAACAGTCTATGTGAAACATACCTAATAGTTATGCTGGCAAAAAAGGGAAACTTCCAAATGATAATGGAATGTTTTTACCACTAGAAATAATATGTGAAGTACAGTATTATGTTTCAGAACTTGAATTCCCATCTCACTTTGCCTCCAGATGAGCAGGAAACACCTCCAACTACAAAGAGACTACACATAAACACAGTTCGAGGACATTACACAACACCCCAATGCTAGAGCACAGAGGTGGGGACTAGGACCCTCCTCCAGTGGGCCAGGAACAGCTGTTGTGCCTTCACTGCTTCCTCAGTCAGTACTGTCACCAGCCTAGATTGGAGGCGACTGGAAGGAACTGGCCTCACCAGTTTCTGTTGCAGGTAGTATGACATCATTGGAAAGACCGGGCTTTCTAGGGCGTTTGGTCATTATCTGCTGGCACCAGAGATCACAGTGCATGGGGGTGAGCAGTTAGTAATGTAGGTAACTGTCAAATCACTATGTTATAAACTTGAAATCAGCATAGTATTGTCTATCAGCTGCATTTCAATTTAATAAAGAAGATCCCAGTGCAGCTTTGGCTGAGTCAGTACAGCCTCCTGTATCCCTTTATGGGCTGCTGAACTCCAGGTAGAAGTCAGTGATCTGGGGACTCACATAAGGGGGAAGTGACCAGATTCCACTTTGGGAGTGTAAACAGAGGGTGATGTTGGATGTCAGGTGCAGACCAAATTGTCAACCTGCATATGAGGTCAGTTCTAGGCAAGAGATTAGAATGAGGTGGCTGTCCTTGGACCAGGGCTTGCCACCATATGGCCCTGGAGACCTATGGGAAGACCTGGTAGAAGGAGCTGTATGAGACTCAGTAGGAGGAAGAGGAGGCGGTACAGAAGCTGCTGTTCGTGGGGCCACTCAGGAACGCATGTCCTACTTTGCAGAGGTTGCAGGACTAGGGTTATTAATAGCCTGACAAAGCGGAGACCTTCTGATTCTGAGGGGAGTAGCTGGAATAGACTTGGTATGGGTTAGGGATGGCAGCAATGAAACTGTCACTGTGCACAAGGGGCGGTGAGTATTGGGAGGCCAGAGTACATGCCTTATGCTCTTTTAAATGGTGGTAAAATTCATATATCATAAGAGACACCATTTTATTCATTTTAAAATGTACAATTCAGTGGTATTCAGTCCATTCACAGTGTTGCACAGCCATCAGCACTGTCCAGTTCCAGAACTTTTTCATCACCCCGAGTGAACATGCCATACCCATTAAGCAGCCATTTCCCATTTCTCCTTCCCCCAAACCTCCAGCAACCACTTATCTCTGGATTGTGTATGGATTTCATGTCAGACAGATGTGGGTTCATCCTGGTCCTGCCATTTACTAACAGAGTACCTGTGCTCAACTAACTTTGCTTCTCTGAGCCTCAATTTCCCACACTTTTAGAATGGAAATAAAAATGCTTAACCTGTAGGACTCTGGTGAGTATTGATTGTACGTTAAATGTTGAGCTGAATAACCTGGTTAATTCTTGAGTAGATATGCAATAAATGGCAGATACTGTTTGCTTTATAAAAGCAGTAACAGTGTGGTTCCTTTGAATTGATATTACTGTATTTAAACTTCTTATGACCAAAAATTCAGGTAACGCAAATGAATCATCTACTCTGATAGATGTTGAAATAGGAAATTTGACTTTTGCCTGCCAGGCTAATTGAAGAGGTGAGAGATAACTATAGAGTCATGGACTATATATACTACAAAGTCTAAAATACTATTGGAATTTAGAGGAGAAAAATCATTAATTGTGATTAGGTGCTTCATAAATATTTGAGTTAGTGAATGAATGAATGAACAATTGAACAGACAAACATCTAGCAGGCCTATGGAAGAGGTAGAACTGGAGCTGGGCCAGTTTAGTAAGTACCACTGCCTATCTTTCATCTATAAAATTCAATCAGGATACTGAACAACCTGTAAGGTAGGCAAACAAAATGGTTTTGATGATCATTTTTTTGTTTTTAGGAGGCCCATCCAAACACTTTGAAAAAATAGATGTACATTCATTAAGGAAGTTTAAAGGGTGATAGATTTGTAACAAGGAGGGGTTCATATTAATACTGGAAGGGAGGCAAAATCCTGTATGTGTCAAGCAGAGGCCATTCAAGTTCTTTGAGATATCACAGAGAAAACTCATTGATCAGACTGAGCCAAAGGGGACTTTGTTTCTAAATCTTTCTCCTTTGAGAAAAAAAAATCTCAAATCAGTATTCCTATCTGTGAATTAAATGGATTATTATTTGATGAATTGATAGGAGTTATTCTTTATTTCTCTCTTTCCATATGCTCATCCCCTCATCACTGCCCCCACCACTAGAATGTAACAAGCTCCTTTGAGGCAGATAACTTGTGCACCACTGTATGTCTAGCACACAACTGACATTCAATAAATACTTGCTGAACCATTATATAAAAATAAATAACATACATACATGTATACATAGCTATACAGTTTTTCTAAATATAAAAGTAGTACTTTTCTTTGTAAGAAAATACAGAAAAGCATAGGAAGAAAACTTCAAAATTGGAGGAATTTATCAACAGTAACATAGACCTCTGAGAAATTTGCTTGATTGAGTTCATGTTGAAGCTGGAGGTGCTTTGGCCCAATCAAGCCAGTAATAATGGAAATTTTGTGCCATTTGTTTCTTGTTTTTTTTTTTGCACAAAAGATGCTGCTAAGGAAGGATGGCTCCACAGGGATTACCTCTGGGAACACAGAATCCAGAGCCAAACAATAGGCCCTTATGTTATCTGGGGGAGTCTTTTTTTTTTTTTACCTCCTGTAATTGGTGATATCATAATTAGGCCTGCATATTACTTCTGAACACTGCCATACAAGGCACTTCATTTAGTTGGGCTTATGGAGATTAGATCATGCACAGGAAGCCGGTTCCCTGGTTATCAGGCTCCACAGAGGAGACGGGAGGCTTAAGTAGTGTGAAAAATTACGGTTGATTTAAAGAGACAGGATTCTCTGGAAAAGTACAGCGATTTTTCCAGCTTGTGCCTCTGTGACCTTTGAGTTTCCCATAAACAGCACTGATTCCTGCCTTGATACTCTTTCTGTAAATAAGGACCTCTTTGAGCTTCCCTTTCCTCCACCAATAGGGCTGCTGAAACCTATTTTGTGAGATTGTTATAATTTTAATGAGCTAACTCCTTTAATGAATCTAATAACATAGTCCCTGGAAGATAAAAATCCTAGCACAGTTCCTGGAACACATGCTGAGAGTATAATCGTCAGTTCCTCATCTTTTTCCTTTTATCATCATTTAAACTGTCTGCATTATCAGGTTTTAAATAATTTAACAGAATTACAATTTGAAACCCTATTGTGTTTAATTGTAGTTTTGAATAGTATTTTGCACTTCTTAATACTTTAAATTATCTGCCTTGAATTATTATTGTAATTGGTTTACTTGTTTTATTCTCCTTGCTACATCACAAGCAATTGAGAGATAACAATTCTTACTCATAGTCACTGCAATGCCTCGGATAGTGCTTTGATCCCAGTGGATATTCAAATAAAGTTTGTTGAATGCGTTTGTGCCAGTCTTCTTGAAAGGTGCAACTAAAATATGTAATATAATTATTGTGAACAGAAATCAGCATCCTCACACACTTAGCCCTGTAGAGCCAGCACAGATCAAGGTGCACAGCATAAGTTCTTGCAACATTTATCAAATTGGAGAGAATAAGACTTGCCATGTGGCAGTTAAATCTTAAGAGTGACAAATCTAGAACAAGCTGTTCCAGATTTTTTTTCTCTCAAATCTAGTTTTAAGTTTTTCCGTTTGTTGTTAATTGCTGGTTAGTTCCTGAGAACAGGGCGTTCAGCAGTAAGAGATACTGTATAGATGAATAAAGGCAGATTGGGAGACTCAGAGGTAGTTAAAAGTAGGAAAGGAAGGGGTCTGATAATGAATTTACTGCCCCATTTCACTCAGCAGTTTTGAAAGCCGTACACATGAAAGGGCAGTGTTCCAGTTCAGTCTCCCTGTGTTTCAGCCCGTCTGCCAATCTCACATGGTTTCCTTAGCCATAGAGCTCAGTTGTTCACTTTAGGGCTAGCAGGTTGCTTAACAAGGCTCTGAGCCCTGCTAATAAGTGTATGGTGTTTGGTTCCCATTCCTCTGGCCCTGCCTTCGCGTTCCCTCTCACTGTTTCCTTTTCTCTAGGTGTACGTGGTCGGGAATGACCCTTTGCCAGTTTTGGTGGATTCCCTGCTTCCTGTTCTGCGGGTGCTCTTTTCGCTCTACTGTTTCACCAAGCAGAGTGTGTCTCACATAAGGTAAAGAGCCTAGATAACCTTACTTGTTTATAAATAGTGAATTCTTTCTTTGTGTGTTGTTCTTGTTCTCATTTGGAACATACAATTTATGCCACTCTGTAATTGTTTTTTGCTTTCCAAGTTGGGAAAACATTTGGAAATCTTATGTTGCTCATCTGAAAAAGAAAGAGAGCTTTACAGATTGCAGGGAATTGGTGCAGTTTTTAGAAAGACTTTCCTCAGCCTCTCTCCAACAAGATATCAGAGATGAAATCCTTGTTTCCCTTCAAGAACATGCCACTGTTTGATCAGTGAGAAACATGGAATTACGTGTCTCAGGATGAGGAAATAGAGGATGGATCATAACTACCTTGTGGGGAATCAAGCTGGGGAAATCTGGATCTGAATGGGGCACTCTGTAATTCAGATTTGGAGTTGGTCTGAGTACTGCACAGTATTGTTCAGAATAAAGGGATTTTTTTAAGTCCTCCAGAAAATAATCTTTTACATTGGAATTTAAGTAGAATTCACTTTGTATCACCTCTATTTTCACAGCTACTTATGTTGTTTTTTCTTTATAAGAGTTTATATTCTTTGTGAAGTCCTACAGAATTCTAACTTTTGGTGTTTGGAATTCCCCTACATGTCATCTGATATACAAAGTGCTATCTTACCCCTAGGATTATTAGGAGGACTAACCATGCATTGAAGTGTTTAGCACTGTCCGTGGCAAATGGTAAGCTCAGTAAATGATAGCTGTCATCATTATTAAGTAGCAAAGGAAGGTACTCAGGCTGGCTGGTATATTATTCAAAGTTCATAGACTGTGTTTGACTCTGACTTTCAGTCATCACATTACTGTAGCCCACAGCCACAAGGGCAGTGACAAGAGAGTGCCGTGGAAGATGGAGGTTATAAATATATAAATTTGGCTCTAAAGGACTGTCGATATAATAACCCCTGTCTTAGTTTTGAGACCCAAATCCTCACAGCACTATCATGTCCTCATCAGAGCCTGAGAAGGAAGAAGCAACCATTCATTCCATTCCTCTCCTAGTGGACTGGCATACATAAATGGGCACGAGGAATCAGGAAGAATCTGTTGGTGTGCTGTTTTTTGGTCACCAGCTATCGGTCCCATTGATAGCAGATGGTTTTATCAGTGTAAACTGTAACAATGCCTGATCCAAAGGCAGTATAATATACTAGGAATTACAAAAAAAAATCATGTGGGGCTCATGTATCATATCAGGATTGCTTCTAGAGCCAGAGATTAGTCAATCACTCTTGAATTTCACGATATTTGCATTCTGAAATTCACAAGAAGCATTCTTTCCACTCCTGCACTTCTGTGGTACTAGGTGATTGAAACAGCACTTAGATTGCAGTGGGACCTGACAGTCTCTTTTTCTTTTTTTATGTTAGCTTGTGAGATGTATAGAGTAAGATGACAAGCTCTTTTATAACTGCTTTTTCTGCCAGGTCACTTTGCCAAGAGATCTTATTATGGATTCTAGGGAAGCTGGAGAGGAAGAAGGCAATTGCCAGCCTGGAAGGATTTGCAGGGTTGAACAAATCTGTGTCCTCTCTCCATTCTCTGTGTCAGTTTAGAGCTGCCGCTCAGGGTGGCATTATGATTACCATCAAGGAGGCCATTTGGTGAGTTCACCCATTCTTTACTGTCTCTCTTAAGATTTTATTGTACCTAAAAGGCCATTCTGCTTTTTGTCCACTAAGAGGCGCTGATAGAAAGGGAACCGGAAAATGAAGCCGCCTAGCTGCTGCTATTTATAATCTCTAAATGAAATGTGAGCCTTAAATAATCCTCCAGGTTTTTCCCAGATGCCAGCTAATGGTAGGTGCAATGTGCTGGTGTCTTGCAGCCTTGAAACACAAGAAACCCACTTATTTAATAATGTGTTTGCCAGTGAATGAGAGTAAAGGGCAGACATGTTCATCTTCAACACTAACACTCCAATTCTCTTTTAGAGTCTCCAAATGGTGTATGTGTGTTCAAAGACTTATTTATTCCTAAGGGAAGTTGTCTCATAGCTATCTTTTATGGTAATTTTTATGGTGGGGGTTTGTTTCTCCTAGGGATTGATTAGCAGGTGCTTAATAAATGTTAGTGGAATGGATAATTTATTTCTCCAACATCTCACAAGTGTATTTTGCATTGTTTTTATTTTCTGGGTGATGTGTGTAGATACTATTAATGTAAATTCCTGTTGATCATGTAGTCCATATAGGATTTTACTGGTGGCACCTACTCTACTTAGAGTTCATTTTATATTCAAAGTGCTGCTGTTTGTTAAAGTGTTTAATTTTTTATTCATGGTTAACTTGGTGAAGTTTTAAAACACTTTCAATATGATGGACTTGAGGAAAATAGAAAAAACATTGATTGCAGAAAGAATTATCTGTATAAGCTCAAGCCACTAGTTTACTGAGAGTTGTTAAACATTAATAGGTTTTGTAGTTATAATTATGCCTTTGAACTGAAAGAGTTTATTGTTTTTCTACATGTTTATTTAAAAGACACTTTGGAATAGTTTAACCTAGGGACAATTTAGTTGACTATATAACTTCATGATATTTAACTTACCAGCAGTTAAAACTTACTGCCATGCTAACGAGTCTTTAGTGGACTCCTCAGTGCACATTTTCCAGAATCAATAATTTTTACTGAAATTATAGGTTCTCTTCATGGGAGGGAGAATGTGCTTGAGTGAATCTCTATCCACTACAGAAGCAATAGGTCCTTAACCTGGGGTCTCTACATGAACTTCTAGGGCTCCATGATCCCCTTCATTTTTTTTTTTTTGAGCATAAAGGCTTTATTGTCACCTTAGGGTTCTCAGACAGGTGGGGCTCTTGCATGTGTCTGGTGGGCAACGAATGTCCTCATGGCACACTAAGTTGATGGCAGTGCCGGGCCCAGTCCTCAGGGCTCCCTCTGCCCTCCCTCCCCACTCCTCCCCTTGATTTTTTATATGCAAACATGGATTGTTTTTATTGAAAGTAGGTTTCATAGCCTTCTTTAGTTACTTAAAACACTCATGTCTCCAAAATGTTGACACTCCCTATACTAGAGAAATGTGTGTGTTTGTAATTTTGTCATGTGTTCTAAAGATCCTGCTGGTTGTCCTTGAAAGGCCTACCTTTTGAGGGTCAGGATCACCACTTACCTTTCACTGTACCATCCTGCCCAGCAGCACTAATTATCAATAAGAAGTTTGTTTAAAGAAATTTTAAAAGAGCAGATTAGATTTCATGATCTTTGGATACAGAAATTTTATTTTTCTGGAATAAATAATACTATTTAGAATTGACTCTCATTGAAATCTTAAGAATGAATAAAATAGTGCTTCTTAAAGTAATTGTTGTCATATCATTTTTTCAAAGAGTATTTGAATACCTTACTTCATTTTGACAGGGTGGTTCACAGAAGCTTAGAAATGACATCCATTTCAGCTTTTCTTCTAACATAAAATGTGGTAGAGATAACATGACTAATCTGAAGGACTCTGGCAAATTCTGGGATAATATAGGAAGTAATCCTAAACTTGGTTTATAGGTTGTTCATTCTACTAGAGGAGTATAAAAGCCAGTTTAGTAGTGAACTGGCAAATTGGGACACACTGCCCAATGAGATGGTCTGTCTAGTTAACTTTAATAATTGTACTTTTCAATGAGATGAACAACATGTGTCATTTTTTTCTCAGTTTAGTCTGAAAAAAATTATGTCTTCTTTGCTCACAAAAGTAACATGTGTTCTTTGTATAATATAAAAATGCATAAAGAGGAAAACAAAACCCAGCCAGTATCCTATTCACTGTTTACTTTTAGTTTTGTCTTCTAGTACATCTTCTGTATTTGTTTATGTGATGTAGTATAGTAATGTATCTTGTTTTTCCACTTATCATATGAATTAAAACAAAGCTTTAGTACCTCATTAATTTATTGAAACTTTTTGCAGAAATCATAGCCCTGTTTTCAACAAGTTAGCCATATTTTGTTAGTTGGAAATTGGGCCTACTCAGTTTTCTGAGCCTTTATGCATTTTCATATCTAGCTAATTGGTTCTTATTAGCTGAGACTGACTGCATCTCCTCCTGTAATGAGTGGGTCTTTTTACACTACCCATAACTCTTCAGGGGATCGTTGAGAAAAAGTCCAAGTTCCTTTGAATGGCATCCAAGGCCCTCTTTGATCTGGCTTTGCTTTGCAGCTTTTTTTTTCGCTATTCTTCCCCAGGAACCAGCATATCTGTATACAACTATACTTTAATTCTCCCTTGCTTTTGCAATTTATTGAAGTAATAATAGTAATTCATCAGCATCCTTTTTTTTAAATTAAAGTATTATTGATATACACTCTTATGAAGGTTTCACATGAAAAAACAATGTGGTTACTACATTTACCCATATTATCGAGTCCCCACCCATACCCCAATGCAGTCACTGTCCATCAGTGTAGTAAGATGCCACAGATTCACTATTTGCCTTTTCTGTGCTACACTGTTTTCCCTGTGATCCCTCACACCATATCAACATCCGTCTTAAAAGCCAGTTTCTTCATGAATCTTTTCCCATTGGCCAAATGACTTTGCAGGACATGATATCCTAGTTTCTAAGAGTAACTTTTTCAGCATGGAGAGACAGGAAAATAATTTAAATAAATTTTGAGATCTTTCTAATGATTTACTGTAAGAAAATAATTTATTAGGATTTCAAAAAATTAATAAGGTATCTTCGGTGACACTGCCAAGATAAATCTTACCTCTCTTTGCAGTGACGAAGATGAAGATGAAGCCCTTTACCAGAAAGTATCCTCAGAGCAGTGCCAGCTAGAGTGTCTTGGGGACTTGTTATCCTACTGCCAAGAATGTGGCTTGGCAGGCGACTTTTTTATCTTCTGCCTGAAGGTAAGAACTACATACAGTACGTTACAGGGTAGTACTGGGAGCCCCTTTGAATTTTCAAGGCACTCATAATTATAGGTCCAAAAATTTATGTTCTAATTTAGGAGAAATAATCAGAGGACATAAGAGTGGTTTATTTTTTAGTAGCCTTTGGGTTGGTAAAAAGAAGAAACTTACCTTCACCAGTACACACGCTATGGGACTGCTTTCCGAGGTAGTCTGCACTGAACCTTCTGAAATGACCAAAGCAGAATTGTTGGTCTGGGAACTGGTTAACCTTTGCTCTGTGTTGACTGGTAAGAACTCTTTTGAAGTTAATAGCAGGTTTTACAGCTATAGTGTAATCCCTTAACCTCTCTGACTGTTGTTTTGTCAGGTGTTTGAAAAGAAGATTTAGCAGTCCTGCCTTTCTCATTTCATTTTGTCACCATGTGAAACCTTTTCTGGTTCTGTTTCTTAGTGCTGGTAGTTCTATTTTTTTGCCCTAATCTCTGACAGTCCCTTGTACCCCACAATGTTACCCATATTTGCACTCTTTGAAACCATAAGCCAAGTGATCTGATTCCCTGTCCTCCAGCTCTGCCTTCTCCACTGTATTACTAAATTAAGTGTCTGCTTTAAGAGAATGTCTGTGGAGTTTAAGACTGGTGTGGGTGTGGGAGAAAGAATGGAGGGAATCAAGCTAACACTTCTAGAACTTGAAGTAGGGGACACTTTTTGATGCCTTCTAACCTCCCGTGTTCACATCTGTCCCACTACCCAGACACACATAAATAACACTGCAGGAAGATGTGCTTTTAGTTGGATAATTAAAAAAAAATATTCAAAAAGACAGAAAAAATCAAGGGGCTTTGCTCTGAACTGAGGTTTTTCCATCTTGGTACTATAACAGACATTTTCGGGCTGGGTGATTTTGTTTTTGGCATGGGGGCTTCTTGAGCATTGGAGGTTGTTTGGAAGCATTCCTATTCTCTGCCCATAAGATGCCTGTCACCCTCTAATTATGACAACCAAAAATGTCCCCAGGCATTGCAAAATGCCCCCTGGGATGCACAATTTCCCAGGCACAATTGGGAACCATTGCTCTAAATTGTTAATTACCTTGGTAAAGATTAATTGTTAGGTTTTCCTTTCCCAAGGAAATTGAAATGTGAAGGATAGGGAAAAAGCCTACAAAACCCACAGTAATGAATCATCTATTAGTATAAGTTTAGTTCTAGGTATCTTAGGGGAAAAGGTGCTGAAAGCATCTAATAGTCTCTAAAAAGGGTTTGGAATGTTATATGGCCTGAGGTCTCAGTTCAACAAGGCCAGTGGTAGAGATCATAAAAATACTGATAAATAGTCTGTTAAACTAGTTCTTTGTGTGTATGTATGTTTTTTATTATGAAGTTTTAAATTTTCATATACATGGTATATTATACATATGTGGGGAAGTTGGGGTTCCTATGGCCAGGATCCTCACTGAACTTAAACCACCTGATGATGTAACTGGCCTGTTGCTAGGCTACTGCTTCCATACATTTAGGCAATAAGCTGTAATTGCACTACATAGAGAGCTCGGCCCAGTGCTCTGGGCTGAGGCAGAGACGCTAGTGCTCAACCTACTGCCGGGAGAACAAGCCAGGTAATAAACCCTTTCACCCCAAAGAACATTTTGCTGTCAATTTCTTGGTCACATTGAATCCATAGTGAACTTGCCTGGGGCTGAAACCCATAGGCAAGACAATTGGCTTAGTCGGCAGTATTTATTGCTGACCAAGGAAAGAGACTGGCAGCCGTTATGGGAGGGGTGCTTCAGCGGGCTGCCCCTGCGAATGGGGAGACAGTGGATCATCCTCCAATGGGTATGTGGTCTGAGGTGGCTTGCCTCCTAGAGGACTGGGCCCCACCCCAGGATTGGAGGCAAGTGGAGGTGACACCTGAGGCTGTAGGTGTGGCCCTTGGTATAGTAAGTTGGTCCTCTGAAAAGCAGAGTGCTCGTGAGGCAGCGGGGACTGTAGGTTGGCTGCTCTCGCAGTATTAAAAAGGTCTACAGAGGAGACCCAAGGAATCGTGGCATGAGAACGCAAGCTGCAAACTTCTGTGGATTCCCTGAAGAAAGAAATAACACTGATGCGAGAGGAGGCAGCATGAGAACGCCGGCTGCAAGGTGCCATTGAAGAGGTAAAAAATTCCTTACAGAACAAGATGGCAGCTCTGCCAGGTGTTCTGAAGGAGGAAGAGGCCATCAAGGAAAAGGACAAACTCCTGGGGGAAGCACAAGCGGAGGTGGCATGAGAATGTCAGCTGTGAAGCATTGAGGTGAAGCTAAGAGACCTTCTGAAGACTGAGAGAGCATTGCTGCGAGGCCCAGTAGAAAAGGTAAAGGTTGTAGCAGAGGAGGCACTCAGGAGAGGAGAGAGTAAGGTGCCATTAGCCCTGGAAATGGAGGAGCTGGGGAAGGATGAAGGGGGTGGTGCCAGTGGCACTGGTGCCTCCTGTATTGAAAGCATGCCCAGTGGTTGTAAAGAAAATAAAGACCCAGTAGCTGAAAGTTCCCCAAGGAGAGGAGCAGCCCCCTCCCCAGGTTGTGGAGCACTCTATGGTCCGCTCCTATATTCAGGCTAAGCTGGTGAATTTGGGCTCCCGGTTTGGGCAGAAGCCCTCAGAGTCAATATCAGCTTGGCTCCTGCATCTATGGGACTTAGGGATGGATGGAATTGTTCTGTTGGGATCAGAGATGGGGAAGCTGTCTTCCCTGACAGTGCAGCCCACCTTGAGGCAGCGATTACAAAGTGCACATCAGACCCCAGGGAGTCACTCCCTCCTCGATTAGCTTATGGCTGTACTTCGTGCTGTGTGGCCCAATCCGGGTGATCTACCATCCTTTCCTGTTAGATGGCAGACTTATGCTGAGCTCCAACAGGTGTTATGAGAGCTAGGCATAAGAAATGCCAACCATAGTCCAGAGAATTATTGGCCCAGATAAATTGGTTAGAAGGAAAGTCTGCCTCTGATATAGCCCAATGGTTACATCAGCATTTGTTGTATGCGGGGCAAAAGACAATGTGGGCTGTAGCCCATCGGTGGGGTTTGCCTTTGACCTTTGAAGAAGTTAGTAGAGCCCGGCAGGAGTGTGTTGTTGCTCCAAAAGGTACTTACACCAAGTTCCACAGCAACATAGCACAATAGCTAAGGGGCCAGTACCCCTCATCAGGTGGCAGATAGACTATATTGGGCCTCTACCTGTGTCAGAAGGATATCAGTATGCGATGACTTGTGTGGACACAGCTACTGGACTTCTGGTTGCTTTTCCTACCCATTGTGCAGACCAACAGATGACCAAAGGAGGCTTGGAGGCTCTCTTTGCTGCCTACGGTCAACCACAGGTAATTGAGAGTGATCAGGGCAGCCATTTTACTGGACATACACTGCAAGAATAGGTGCAACAGCTGGGAATCAAATGAAAGTTTCATGTGCCATACAATCCTACCACAGCAGGCATGATAGAGAGGCACAATGGCTTGTTAAAATCCGGACTAATAGTCTGTGGGGATGGTCAGTCTGCTTATGGACTCTGCTACAGCGTTTGAATGAGAGACCCCAAAAGGGAGCCCTGAGCCCCATAGACATGTTAACACATATGGCTGCCTCCCCTATACAACTGCAAGCACAAACCAAGGATGAATCACTGAAGCTGAGATTTGGCCACCAGAATAAGATCTTGCTGCCAGCACCAACTGCACTGAACCCTGGAGACTCCATTGAGTGGACTTGGCCTTGGACCTTTCGACACATGGACTAACAATGGCTGGCTCTCCTGGCACCTTGGGTACAAGGCCTTGAAGCTGGCCTCCTGTGTATTCCTGGAATAACAGCAGAGTGGCTGCCAAAGGTCACAGTAGTATATTCTGAACGGCCAGAAGGTAGGAGCATCTTACTGGGAAGTTTTATCAATATGGGCAGTGCATACATCTCCAGTAGCACTATATATAGATCCTTCAGTAACCCCCATGGGGAAAGGAGTAAAAGTATGGTATACTAGACCTGGAAGGGACCCTTTTCCTGCTACCATCCTATCACAGGACCACTCTTTCATGCATCCTACCTGATGGACAAGATTTGCCTATGTTGGTGTCATTAAAACATGTGTCTTATCACCCCTAAAGTCTTTGTGGATTGGGAACTTCCTCTGGCTTGAGGAGTATTAAAATTTTTGTTACCTGTATCAAAATCTTGTTGTATCTTTATTTTTGTTATTATCTCTAAGTTGTTATCCTCTGTTGGTATTGTGGAATCTGGTTACAGTGCTCCAGCTTTCTCACACAGGGACCATCGCGGAAGATTGAAAGCATGCAGGTTGTAAGGTGAGAATCCTGGAGGGGTGGAGTGTGGGGAAGTTGGGGTTCCTGTGGCCAGGATCCTCACTGAACTTAAACCACCTGATGATGTAACTGGCCTGTTGCCAGGCTACTGCTTCCACACCTTTAGGCACTAAGCTATTATTGCACTATATAGAGAGCTCGCCCAGTGCCTTGGGTGGAGGCAGAGATGCTAGTGCTTGACTTACTGCCAGGAGAACAAGCTGGGTAATAAACCCTTTCACCCCAAAGAACGTTTTGCTGTCAATTTCTTTGGTCACATTGAACCCATAGTGAACTTGCCTGGGGCTGAAACCCATTGGTAAGACAATATATTATCTTACAACTTATATTTTCCACTCAGCTGTTTTGAGTTCACTCTATATTGAAATCCATATAAATACAGTTCATTTATTTCAGCTGCTATGATGTAATACAGTTAATTTATACATTGTCTTATTGCTAGACATTTAAATTGTTTTCAATTTTTAGCTATTAGAAATAGTGCTACAGTGAACACAGACTGGTTTTTTAAATGCATGTTTCAAACAGGGTTGGTTTCCTAGCTGTTTTTGAAGTCCTTAGGCTTTTTCTTTACTCTCCCTTTTCTCCTGTGCTGATAGAATTTGACTCACGTTGCTGTGGAAAACAAAGCAAAATTGGAAATGAAGCCCTTCTCCAGCAAAAGCCTCTTGGAATTCGAGCAGCACCAAACTCTTCTTGTGGAAGGCCAGGAGCAGAAGCTGCTGGTCCTACAGCTGATGGCTGTTCTCTGTGAGAGAATGTCTGAGCAGATATTCACAAACATCGCTCAGGTCAGTGCTGCCACTTTCCGGGCCCCACCTAATAGCCTATTTTGTTTTCTTTATTTTCTTTCCAAAAAAAGTGTTCAAAAATGTTGCTCAGAGTGTGGTTTGATGGTACCTGCATCAGTGTTACCCGGAATGTTGATTAAACTTGCCAATTCCTGAACCCACACCAGACCCAACAGGATCAGCCTCTCAAAGGTCCTGGGCATCGGCATGTTTAACAAGCTCCTGAGGTGATTCTCATGCACATAAAATCTTGAGAACTGTTTTAAATATTTATATGTTATATCACAGTAGTTTTCAAGTTTGGGGGCAAATTAAATTTTCTGGAATCTTTTTCAGAATATTGATGCTCAGCTCACTTTTAGAGATTCTGTTTAGAGGCTGGGCATCTGTGTTTTTTTAGAGCTCCATGGATGATTTTAATTTGTATCAAAAGTTGAAAATGATGAGAAACCCAAATTTGAAAAAAAATCACTAATGATAATAAGATCACTTTGAATTTTATAGGTCTTCTAACTCACAGCTCATCTCCATTAACAGCCTGTGAAATTGTAATACACCTTAAAAATGCTTCCATCGTAGTGTAACTGAATCAGCACCTGAATTTTATTAGCTCACATAAAATAAAAATTGTGTGTTTTTACCAGCTTTTTAAAAAAATAGGAAATAAAAATAATAAAGCATAGACAGTGTAGTGGTCATATTTTACCACTTTATCAGAATTAGTTGTTGCTTGGTTGGTGAATAGTCAGTTGTAAGATGGTATGATTGTCACGCTTTAATCTGATTCTCCAGCTCTTTGTATGGCCTTCATTGTCATCTGCCTTCGGGTGTTGCTAAGCAGCATTTCACTATAACCCCTGCTGAGAAAATTTGCAGCTGTCTGTCAGCTCTGACTTATTGTGCCCGTTTAATGAGAATTATGTTCATGATTTCTGTCCTCCTATTCCTTTCATTCACTGACCCTGTGTTACTCAGTAGGGTGATATGTTTCTCCTGTATTTATATCAGTCCCCTAAAGCTTTTCACCCAGACCTTATGTTTTTGTCTCAGGATGCTAGTTGGAAGGGGAAATGGTCTGAAAACTGGTATGACTTGAGCTTTCACACTTATCTCCCTTTATTCCTAATTAGGGAACAATGGTTTTAGGCTGATTCAAAAGTGATTCCTCCCATTAAATTATTCTTCAGCTAAGGATAAAATGTATCAGAACAAAAAGAACCAGAAAAATATTAAATTGCATTTAGTCTTATTGCTAATGATATTTTTGTTATGTTATTTTGAAGTACATAGTTTATATGTAATAAATGTTATAAGTAATTTTGTTAATGTCACTAGGAACCAAGATTTTCAGTGTAAGAAAAAGAACTATAAATATGAGTTCAAAGAATTTGAGTTCAAAACCTGTAATACTGAATTTCAATTGGAAGTATTAGTATAAACTTAGTATGTTAATTTAAATTGTACGTTTTTACATATTTGCAGTAGCTCCAGTTCACTCTAATTCTTCAAATTTCACATGTTATCAGAAACATGAATAAGTTTCTGATATTCTTCAAGTTTCTTAAACTTCTCTTTTGAAGATGATGTTATATATAGGTTGATAATCACATTTACAGGAGAGTCAAGTTTTCTTTCTCCTTTTTTCCCCTAATATTTTCTACATTGGAGAAGTTGTTGATGTCAAAGGGTGACAATTTGTTTAACATATGTTGTAGATTGGGTTCCCTAGAAAGAACCCAACTTCTGAGAGACAGATTAGCATGCAAAAAGTTTATTGGTGAGCACTCTTTAACACCTTTGGAAGAGGCGAAAGAGAAGGAAGCAGGATTGGGCAAAAGAGAAAGCTGGGCTATGAGATAGTCTCAACAAGGCCTTAGCCAAACTCACAGCAGGATCTGGAGCTGGGATGGCTCTTCAGCAAGAGGGACTGGCTATTATGTCCCGTGTCAATCAGAGGTTGGAGTGTTGGCAGCCCCAGGAAGGAGATATGTCCCTGGAACAGGTGGATCTCTTCAACAAAGGTAATTCAGGAACAGGAAAATAGCTGAGAGTGGTCATCTAACAGCCTCCACCCCCAGCAGGTGGGAGAATCTTGGTAGCACATCCCAGAGCCCACTACATCATCAGTAATATATTTTTACAAAGGTTTGTCTTTGAATAATTTCCTTATTCTTTGATGTAGTCAAGAGAATTAGGTACACTGAACTGTTACTCTTGCACCATTTTGTGTGTAATATTTTGTCATTGTGCCAAATTAGTCCTGAGCAAATAAATTTAAAAAGGAATTTTTAAAATTAAAAAACTAGTGAGAATGTTTGATATTTTGCTCTGGGCTATGGTTACATGAGTGTAAAAAATAAATAAAAGAATTTCTAAAGTACATATCCCATAATTAAGTAACTCAGTAATTTGTTAAAAGAGCACTGCACACTGTCTGTAACTGAAGTTTTAGTGATAGGATGGCATCATCTCTACCTTCCCATTGTGTATTTGGTAACAGTTACAAATTTATGTTTGGTAAATGTGTTCTATGTCAGTATTTTCATTCAGTATACTCCAGTAATTCACTGAAGCCTGAACTTCATTATGTAATTGTTGGAAGCAAAAAAAAAAAAAGAGTGATATTGAAGTTTTTGATTTATTGGTCACTTACCAAGTTTTAAAATGTACAGAGAAGGAATAAGGAATTCCCAATTAACAAAAACCATGTTTCCTAGCTCAATCCATTCTCAGTGTCAAGGAGCGGTGACAGCCGTAGAGCAGTAAGCATCCTCCGTGCCAGATTGTGGTTTCTAAAAACTACTTCCTACTGAAAGAACACAAAGGTCATTGGACTAAAGATTAATTTGAGGCCACGGACAGGAATTTTATATTCAGGGCATCTTGTGGTGCCTGAAGAGAAGTATCTGAGATGAATGGGATCATGTCAGTAACACTCAGGAGCCGACCTGAAGGGGCTCCCCTTGGCCATAGATGGGGCATTTTGAGCATTAAGCAGAATAATGCCTTCAGTGGGTTGAAGCACATCAAAGTTAAGAAATCCGAGTCCTTCCCAAAAAATCCTTTGTGAGACATCTTTGGAGGTTGCTAGGGCATCAACTTATTTTGTGAATTGATTAATAAAGGAAAGGAATGAAGCATGTATCTTCACCTTCCTGTGGGAACTGTACTTCAGTGTAAGAGCTGATGAAGGAAAATTTTTCATTGTACAAGAAACACAGCTAAAAATTTCAAAAATAGAACTAGATATTTATATTTTGCACTCCCCTAATGATCTAATGGGTTTAGGTAACAATCATCAGTCTGCCAAAACCACTGTGGGTGCAGTACAGTGAATGTAATTGGGCCAGATACACTGAACCAACTGATCCTTTTTCCTCCCAGCATTTTATTATGAAAACTTTCAAATTTGAATTTTATAGTGAATACCTGTACACATAGGTTCTATTATTAGCATTTTATTCTAGTCAACCCTTGAATAACACAGGTTTAAGCTCCGGGGGTCCACTTATATGTGAATTTTTTTCAGTAAGTTTAATTGGAAAATGTTTTGGAGATTTGAGACAACTTGAAAAACTCAATGTAGCCTAGAAATATCAAAAAAAGTTAAGAAAAGGTTTTGTTTTGAATGCATATATGTAGGTACTTGTCTATTTTATCATTTACTATCATAAAATCAACAGTAAGGTATTAGTTGTTCAAGGATCAGCTATCCTTGCTTTGTCACATATAAAATATAAAATGTCATATGTCTATCCCTCTAATTTTTTATGAATTTCAGGGTTAATGCAGATATCAGTGTATGTCCCTCTAAATATTTCAGCATGGACTGATCTTAATTCCACCATAAGTAGACAAGCAGACATTATGTTCCTCCTGATAAAATGTAGTAAGAATATGCAGCATCTCCTAGGAAGAGCTCTTACCAAAAAAAACAAAGAACAAAAAACAAAATCCCTGAAATGTGAACCTGAATATAATCAAGGAAACTCAGGATAGAGGAGCAAGTCAATGCCACGAGGAAACAATTGGTCAGATCCAGAATGTAGGAGATTCTACAGTGCAAATGACCCAGTTTCTTCACCAAATGGATGGCATGAAAAAGGAGCAGGGCTGTTCTAGCTTAAGAGACTTAAGGGACTTAAGAGGCGTACCAACTAAATGTAGTGTGTGGGGAAAAGGTGCCCGTCCCTGCAGTGTCTGGGTTCTCCCGGCAGGTGCGATGCTTCAGTACATCTGTGGTCAGGCCATTTGTCTGCCTTGTGAGGCCACCTGTTCAGATATATGGTGTCAAGGTTGCAATGCCACTGCTCTTTATTCTGGTGCATCTGAACAGAACAAACTGGGACAAGTAGAAAAGGAATTGTTGAGAGTAGCACAAATCTGGAAGGAACCTAAAATGGCTGCTTCTATATGAATCTCTATGTAGAGCATTCCATTAAAGTGAAAAGCCTAAATGACATGACAGCCCAAGAGAAGTTTTTTTGCCTCACGTCCAACCTGATCAGTCTGCTTGCTGAAAATGGTTGCTTGACCAACACCCCTGGAGTCATCTCTGCCCTTTCTGCTATGATGAGTGTCCACTGTGGACAAGTACCTTGCACAGTTACCACTGCATCTCCTTAGATGAAACCACTCTTTCTGAATTAAAAATGGTTCTACAGAGCTTCCTAAGTAAATGCCAAGTACTGAAAGTAGAAGTTAAAATTGACCCATCAATTGTAGGTGGAATGCTTGTCTGTACTGGAGAGAAATATGTTGATATGTCTGCAAAAACAAGATTCAGAAGCTGAACAGGGCAATGTGGGAAGTTTTCAGAAAGAGTTGATTTTCTGTCAGTGAAAATTCTTAAACTTGGAGCAACAATAAAATGCTTCCTGAACAGGAAGAAAAAATGCAATGTATGGATCCTGATTTGAACAAACTAATTGTATGGAGAAATTTTTGTAACAGTCATGGACTGAGTATTAGAGGACATAAGGAATTTCTATTGGGTATAATTGTAGGATAGTTATGTTAAAAAATTCTTATTTGTTAGAAATGCATACTGAAGTATTATGGGTGAGAATTAAAAATTCAGTGAAGTCTGTTGGCAGATGGCGTATTAGTATGTGAGATGATGCAGGGGAATGAGGCATGTAGTGGTATGACACGGAGCCCTGTACCAGCTCCTGAGTTCTTTCATTCCCTAAATATGTATTGGTGGTATTCTATGTGCCACGTACTCGTTACTTAGCAGGGTCACAGCAGTGAACAAGACAGACACATATCTGTGCTCTAATGGAGTTACATTCACATAAGGGGAGAGAGACAATAAGCAAGAGAAACACCTAATGTGTTAGAGGGTGATGAGTACTAGGGAGAAGAACCAAACAAGGGAAGGGTATATAAAGGGAGTGGGGCAAATAGCGTAGTCACGGAGAGCCTTACTGGGAAAGTGACTTTTGAGCAAAGATCTAAAAGCAGGGAAGGAGGCGGCCATTGAGATTAGAGGGAGCATGTCTGGAGTGTGGAGGGACCAGCAAGGGGGCCAATATAAATGGATAGGAAGGAGCAAGATTCCTTTCTTCTGCCCTTTTAGAAAATTGTCATTCTCTGCCCCTTTCTGTATTTGGATCACAGTCTTTGGAAGAGCAAAAATGGTTCTCTATGATGTTTGCTTTTTTCTAATGTTAAATATTTTTCACAAAAGTAGCACATGCTCATTGTAAAAACATTTAAACAGCATAGAAGTGAAAATTAAAAAAAACAGGGACTCCTGATTAAAAATGGTGTATTGAACATCTGTGCTTGTCTGCTCCTTCCAGAAACCATAGGGACCAACAGAGCAGGAGAGGAGACAATAAATGAAAGAGAATAACAGCATTTGGAAACTGGAAAATAGTAGCTGATTTAGCAACTTTAGAAAATGGGAAGCTAAGTGCCTTCATGGGAGAAGTCAAGAAGAAAAGCACTATACCCCAAATTTTTTGAAATTTTTAAGCAAAAAATGAAGCAAGTTGCTTTTCATGTCAGAATATGAAAAGAGTGGAGGCACTAGATAAACTCTAAAGATGGAGCTGAGTTTGGAGCTTAAAACAGGTTGAAAGGCCCTACAAGGCTCAGTAGATCCCTTGATTCCTTCCTGAACTCTGTATAACTACCTCCTCTCCCCAGCAAAAACTGGAGGTTTATTCTTTTTTTTTATTAAGGTGTCATTGATAAACAATCTTATGAAGGTTTCACATGAGCAACATTGTGGTTACAACATTCATCCATATTATCAAGTCCCCCACACCCCATTGCAGTCACTGTCCATCAGCGTAGTAAGTTGCTGGAGTCACTACTTGTCTTCTCTGTGCTGTACTATCTTTTCTGTGACCTCCCTACACTGTGTGTGCTACTCATAATGCCCCTTAATCCCCTTCTCCCTCCCTCCCCACCGACCTTTCCCAAACCCTTCCCTTTGGTAACCGCTAGTCCCTTCTTGAAAGGGTATTCTTAAAAGAGGTTGACCCCAAGAGAATCTGAACTTGGGGATAGTAGCAAACTGAAAAACTGGAGTATTTAGTTGATGTCTACATACTCAACAGTGAGGCCACAACCCTCTTCCACTCAGTTGCCAGAATGTGGGCAGCAGGTTTATACAACCCCGTAGAATTATTGTGAGGATCAAATGAGTTAATACCTGTAATGTGTTCAGAATGGTACCTGGGAAACAGTAAATGCTTAATATTACTATTAAAATTGAACAGCTAAATAATTCAAAGTGGTTGCCTCTGCAGAGTCAGAATCAGATGGGGCAGAATGGGGCAGGGTACCTCTATTTGTCATTATAAACTTTCAGAAATATTTGTCTTTTCAGTTTATGCATCTTTACAAAAATTTTTAGGTAAAAAGTAAGAGTCCGTACCTCTCCTGAACATATATAAATTGTAGACCAGGCTTCAGTTACATACCTATCCTTGTGTTTGGCAGCCCCACCAAAATTACAGGAAATGAGTAGTAGGGGGAGGAGCTGTTGTCCTGGTACGGGGGTTTGGTTATTACAAGAAAGTTTGGGGGAAAGAGTGCTTCATAGATAATAGTAACAGCTGCTATCACATCACAGTTAACAGCTCCCAGGCTTTTTGGTTTTTTCTTTTTGCATACATACAGAGAGAAATCCCTTTCTTAACAAAACTAGGGTCATACTACTTGTTTTGCAACATTTAAATATAGATACATATATTTGTGGAGAGGAACTTAGGAAAAGAAGGCTAGATAATTCTATTCCAGTAATTTATACATTTGTGCTGAAATAGAAGCTTCCTATAGTCAAGGAATCCTTTAAAAAAAACTCACCAGAGGCAAAGCAAGTGGCCCAAGATGGGCCTTTCTCTAGAAAGGGCCAGTGTCCTTAACTTCTAGTATCAATAAAGTCTTAGGCTAGAGAGGGTGGTGAAAATTGCCATCCCCAGCATTGTTCGTTTCAGTAAGGAGAACTCTTAAAACCTTTCTAGTTTCTGGCCTTGCTTCAAAAGACAAGTGTTAACAAGCCATTTTCCTGACTTAAACTTGCAATAAAGATTCTAGCATAGCATGTGATTTGCCAGAGGTAAACATGCAGGCTTGCATTGTATTTAGAGGCTTAGGACCTTTGTCAGCTGCCCCATTTTCAAAATGGTTTTTCCTTGTGGAGCCACTAATCCTAAATATGCGTGCATGTGTGTGCTGCAAGTATGTACATGTGTGTCTACACATGCATGGGGATGCCTATGCTTTCTTTTGTTCAAAGGTGTTTCTGCTGAAGGTGATTAACTCAAGCACAGTTGAAATGATGCTGACCAGATCAGTCCATTTAAGGCTTAGTTGTTAGCCAGTTGCCACGTTAAATCTTATATATAAATAATCTTAATCCTTTAAAAATATTTGATATAAAAATGACTGGGTCATTTGTACAGGTTGTTTAAGGACACTGAATTCTTGATAAAGTTGAATGCCTCTTCCCTCATTCTTTGCTTACTAGAATGAGACTGTGTAAGTAGGGTGGTGGGGTGGGAATCCTTGAGGAAACATTAGGAGAGCCAGATCTAGGACCCTCTACGCTGATCAGAAAGTAACATCATTTTTCATTTCAATTTCCTGGCCAAATTTATGAAAAGTAGAAGGAGTTGAATTAGTGTATTAAAACATTTGGGGAAGTATATACAGGGTTCCTCATTTATTGACTGTCTGGCCTTAAGCAGATCACCTCTTTAAGTGTCAATTCTTCATCTGAAAATGAGGACAAGAGTACCAAACTTCTTGAGCTGATACACAACCTCAGTGAGATTCTGCCTGTAAAACACTGAGCGCCATGACTGCTATGCAGTAGCGTTTGTTCCTTTAGGTTCTTGCTATCATGATGCTGAGAAGGATGAACACATAAGATGTAAAGAGAATTTTTGAGGTTTTGTTCTTCTCACCAGTTGTAAATTCCATTTCTTTGATAGGTTGTGGACTTTGTAGCAGTAACGCTGCAGCGAGCATGTGCCAGCTTGGCCTGCCAGGCAGAGAGCACTGTGGAGTCGCAGACACTGAGCCTGTCCATGGGGCTGGTGGCTGTCATGCTCGGAGGAGCTGTTCAGGTGAGTTGCAGCCATGAGCCAAACTTGAATGGAGGGAGAAGAGAAGAGAAAAAACTCTTCCTTCCCTTCCACACCCTTGTAAGAAGTAAGAGTGGATGTCACACATAGGAGAACCAGGATAAATAGGTCAGGTTGTTAATGAGAATTCTCTCTAAAGTAGAGGACAAGAAAATTGTGCCACTTCCACCTTGTCACCCTGTGGATTTCCCCATCAGAAAAGCAGGACGCTTTCTGACCTGGCACAGCTTGATTTGGAAACACCTGGCAGAGTGTTTTGCATCCATGGTGAATGCTAGGTTCTTTGGCCCTCACTGTGATGGCTCTCCAAAACTCAGTGCTTGTCCCTATGGTCATAGTCAGGTAAAACCTTAATAACTTGCTGGTTGCTTAGGATTCCATCTGTTTTGAATAGCACAGGCTCTCTTGTTCAGCCCACATCATGTAACAGATTAAAGCTTTGTTTCTAGTGCATATATCTTTTACATACTTAATTAATTTATTTTTAATTTATTCACCCAAAATATATTTGTTGCTACTTATTATGTGCCAGATACTGAGCTACATTCTGGAAATACAGCAGTGAACAAAACAGACATGGTCCTTATCCTCATGAAGTTTACAGCCAGCCACTGAGGAAGTCAGACATGAAATAACTATTCAAAAAATGTACTTAGAGCTGAATGAATTGCCTCAAAAGAGAAGTAGAGGGTACCAAGAGAACATAACATCTGATGTAGGCTGGGAAGGTTTCCAATGAGGGAGTGTACATTTAAGTTAAGACTTGAATGATAAATAGGAGTTTGGGCAAGGGGGTGGTTTAGGTGGAGGAAACCCTTCCAATTAAAGAAAACACCATGTAGGAAGGCTAGGAAGCAGGAAAGCTTGGTATACTTAAGATACTGATAGAAAGCTGGTGCAACTGAATGGCAGAGACCAAGGGTCAGTCAGAGTAGTACCAGATAAGTTGGAAGGGTGGGCATGTGTGTCTGTGATGGGTTAATTACATACACATTAAGTTAGGACTGCAAGGAAGCAAACTAGGCTTAATGCAAATATGAAATCTGACCTGAAATCATGCTGGTCATAACTCTTAGCAATGAGCAGAGAACCTTCTGGAGGGGATATTTTGAGTTTGAGGATTTAAATTTGATACTGATTCTTGATATATTAGAATTTGCCTCTCTCTGGCGTGTCCTTAAGGGGAAAAGGGACTTTATTTGGCTCTGTTGTTAATGTGAAGCCCATTTCTTGGTAGATTTACATAGCATTCTTAATTTTTATGTTTCTCATGCAGGTTGAAAACATCTTTGGTTCAGTTTCTAGAGTATAATAACCCTGCTGTTAGAACTGTCAAGGAGGAGTTCGCTGATAGAATAGTTTTTCTTAAATTGTACTTTTACTGGATTTAATTGGCCTGATTGATTTTTGTTTTTCTGGTTGAGTATTAATTTGAATAGTCTTTATTTATGTAAGTTGAAAGTGTTTTTTTTCTTTTCTGTTACTTAACACTTATAATTTTAAATTGAATCCCAAATGGAAAATAAGACACAGAAATCTCCATTTCCCTGTCTATAGAAAGGGAGGCTGACTGTATAAATTCGTCATATTCTAAGAGAGACTCTCCCTGATGCAAGTATGTGTCCCTAACCTGTCCCTGCCCTTTTGTGAGCCGTCCTGACTCACTGGTTACATCCTGGGTTCCTCTGACTTTGCATTTAAGTAAGTGAACATAAACACGTCACCCCTGTACTTTTGCCCTAGATCTATTCACTTTTTTTCTGTTTGATTCCTGGATTTATAAATGGCTTCTATAGTAATGCTCAGTTTTCTGTCTGTATTAGAAAAAAGCAGCCTCAATTCTGAATTATGTTTTCAGATGACTTTTGTCAGACTGAAGTTTTTGTTTCAGTCTAGAAGATTATACTGTACCTATCCCTAATTAGGAGTCATTGTTTTAGCTAATGGATCTAACAGCATTTGAGCCTTTCTTTCTTTCCTTTCTAATCTATGTAATTAAAGCAATTACTAGAACTTAGTGTCTGGGAAGAAGAGTTAATTTAGAGAAAGTGTAGGTTTAAGATTGCTAGCAAGACAACTGTAATTCCAAACTCATTTTCTAAATTTCAGGCTTGGTCAGCAGAAAAAGTATGATGTTGCTAACTTTCCTGTCCTCTTGGGAAGCAGTTACATCATGATGTTCTGGGGCCCGTTGGGTCTTCTCAAAAACACTGCTGCACAGTTAACCTGTGCTCTGAGACTCAGGATGGTAGGGCTGGGATTTGAACATAAATTTTGAGATTTCATATCATATATTCTAAGAGTGTCACAGAGTGAACCCATTCAAAAAACATTTATGAAGTGTCTCTTTGCCTTCATGGAGTTTACCTTCTAGTGACTATGATTAATCTGATGAATTATTAATTTTTTTAAAGAAAAGATGAATTTTTCTGTATCTTTGGTTCATCTTTATGTATAGCTCATTATAAAACAGGACATGCTGCATGCCAACTTAGAACAAAAGTAAAATACTACTTGTTAGTAAATTCAGTGACATAAGTAGACTCATCAGGACATAGAAATTGCTCTGCTGAATATCTGAAGAAATGTAGGTGATAGACAGAAATGAGAACTCAAAGAGTAAATGTAAATATTTTCAGAATTAAGAAGTTTTGGGTCAGCAGTTTATTGCCAGAAGGGACACTCAGATTTTTCCAAAGCAGTGATTCTTCCTGGAGCAGGGCAAGGCAGGATGAGGGTGTGCATGCCCCCGAGGAAGCCTTGTGAAGTCATGTTTGGGGCTTTTTCAGGGTACACGTGCCCTCCTCTGACTGTCACCTTGGTTCTCAGATATTTCCCCTCAGCTCTCTCCCACACCCACCACCCTCAGTCCCACCCCTACTAGTCTAATCCCCAGTTCATAAGTTAAAAAACTTTCAGAAATTTAGAACAACTCAGTCTAACTGGTTCACTCCCGATACCCTGAAATAAAACATAGATATAGGCTGGCATAGCTCTGCTTATTCCACTCCTAAAGTTTCCAGAAACTCTGGAAGAGAGGCAGCCAGGTAAAGGAACCTGTCGCTTACTTGTAGGCTGTTCCTTCAAGCCTTGGGGCTTTTACACAGAATTTGGAGATCTGGTTAGGAGATCTGTGCTGAGAAGCAGTGACTGGAGTAGGAAGAGGGCTTTATGATCAGTTCTCAATTTTGATAGTGGCCCTCAGGGACCCCTGAAAAATAATAATTACTTAGGGCTTCAGTTTTCTCATCATCCAGTTAAGTATTAATTTATATCTCAAAAAAATTTTTGAGCATTAATGGACAAATAATTATCACTTACAGTTTTAGATTTCTCTGATTATCCTCATAGTGGGAAATCTCTAGACTTGTGAAGCTGAAAGAATGCAGAAGTTTAATAGCCTTATAAATACTTTGCTGCAGAATCCACCCACCTGCCCATGGTGTTTAGAGAAATCATAAGTTGCATAAGATGAATCCCACAGTGACTAAGAAGTTTGAAAACAGGGAGAAAAGATGGTTGGGTTTTTTTTTTTTTTT